CGATTCGATTGATCTGTTCAGAGGGCGTGAGTTCGATTCGATTCAGAAAGCGTCGGTTATGCAAAATCTTTGACAAAGTTTGATCTCATTAAAGAGATAAACAGAAGAATATCTCTTTTGAAGAGATATTCAAAAAGGGCTTAGTTTCGACACTATGCATCGCAGTAATCCCGAGCGCTTGAACTCTAGAACAGTTAGAAGATCTCTGACCAAAAACTGTCTCTATGAGACCATAGGCTACCGATAGCTGGAATCCGCTGTTGAAGCCTGCAGTTGCGCAGTCGTAGGCTCTCATCGATAGCTCAGTAGCAGTTTTCAGATTCTGCATTTATTTTGGCTTTGTTTCGTCTTATATTAAGTGTTTTATTCGAATATCGTTGATCGTTAGCAGGAGATTAAGTGATATCTTCACAAGTTACTGGAGCACCATCGAATTTTCCGTTCTGCACTCATTTCTGCCGTAATTCCTATCTGTAAACAACTCTTATCACTATTGATATCATTTTATTATCATTATCCTCATTATTGTTATCAATTTGATGTGTAGGTTTCCGTTTGAGTCAATCGCATAATCATTATCATTGATATTATGGTGGCAGATGCACTGAGTTCCTTTGGTTCTATTGAGAATATCACTGTAATTCCCGGGTTTGCTATTGATTTTGCCTTCAAAATCACTTTTATTAGGATGCATTGAGGTCACTATAAAAGTTTTTGATCCGCGCCGTTCCTGCTTTCTTCCTTCTTTCCATATTCCATTCTAGCTGGACATTTATGGTCCAAAAACAACGAAATCTTCAAATACCGGCCCAATAATCGAATAAGCAGCTACTAGTTACCTGAAGCTGCATCAAATCTATATCTTTTCGTACAGGTCTAGCAAGAGCTCTAATTCGGCACTCCTCTCTCGCGTTACAGGAAAACAATCAGCAGAAATGCATGAAACCAATAGACGAGATATATTTATATGTTCAATATGAAAAAATTTATTATACGTTCGATATGACCTGAATATATTTTATTTTCTGTATTTTAAAAGAAACAATGTGTTTTTTTACAAGAGATCACTGAAGATCACGCGAATAATGAACGAATACTGCTTGGTATTTTAACAGACAGACGGAGGGAGAATAGTCTTGATCATGAAAATCATGAAATTGATTGGTTTGATCATTATCAGATGATAGAAACGATTGAATCGATCGATCCGGCGGGTTTGTTCTCCGGAATATGCAATTTTTGAATATGGTGCAACTCGGAAAGAGAAGACATTTGGGGGAAGTATACACGGATGCTCTCTAGTAAACACTTCACAATATCATAATATAACAACAACAATAACAACAGCTCTTCAATGTCATCAAGTTTATCTAGTGCTGGGGATTTCTTAAATCCCATCTGGATTGTTCACTACTCCAAGTAGATATCCTCTGTTGGATGCGCAAACGCCATATACTCATCGTAGGAACGTTTAAAGGCTCGTCTGAAACTAGCAGATTTATCGTGATGACAACGCCTAATAAAAATATTAATGAGATTTTGAGAATCCTAATTTTCCGTTAGCATTTCAAATGCTTCGAGCTAATTCAGATGATAAAACCTTTGAAACATGTCAATAGTCGATCACTCAACAGCCATACACTGTAGACCGGGTGAATTGTATGGAATTTTGGGGACATTCAAACGATCTAGGAGGATTTAAAAGAAATTAATTGAAGGAAACAAACCCAATTGCTTCAACAATTGGTTGTGTGGATTCATTGGACAAGAACACATGACAGGCGAATCGTGGTAGCAGGGGATGTTTAGTGATAAAGCCAAAATACCTGAAAATCCGCATAGTCGATGAAAATCATTCGAATATTTAATTGCTTAATCGTCAAGACTTCAGCAGTGAAAATTTTGGCGACATATCTTTCATATGTCTCGCACACATTTCGCACATAAAATGGCTCTATGATATGTCTTTAGTATGTCGTACACGTGATTCAATCGTAATTGTGGCCCGCGACATTATTCGCATACATGAAAGACATAAGCAAAATTAGTGTAACGCATATCACTAGTGACTCAAATTCGATTGGAATCAGTGAAATCTGCTGGATCGATCACTTGCACTGATCCGAGATCATTTCAGTAGGTGATCTAGATCATTCAGAACGTGATCGAGATCATTCAGAACGCGATCTAGATCATTCAGAACGTGATCTAGATCATTTCAGTAGGTGATCTTTCGTTGCCTACACAATCACAGAATCTAGTGTAATCAATTGATATGAACGAATAAAACTGCGCATCAGATGTTTCTTCTATGAACTGAAATTTTTTCCATCCATCTGAAAATTTCTAATCCATCTGAAGTTGCCAAAACCACAAAATTTTCCACCAACGACTTCAATCACCGAAAACTAGCGATGTTGATACGAAATCGCTCGATCCGAAGCATGCTTATAGCAGAACAAGCTGTAGTGCTCACCTCAATTGTTTCGGATGAGCGCCACAGAAGGAAATATTTTGCAGACTGTAGAAAAAGTCGAATGTGGGACATTGAAAGAACTGAAAAGAAAAAATCATTAAACTTAAAAAATTTCACTGATATTCCTCATCGAGACAAGAAGCAAATTCTCAATGAAGTCGGCAGAATGTCGGTGAAAACGTACATTTTTCTTCCTTTTGTCAATTATATGGATACCACGAAAAGAAACTTCCATTAAGACAGTTTGCGGCACAATGATTTCCTCTTTATTTTGATATAAGCTAAGAACCTGAAATTGGAGCAATTCTATGAGAAGATTTCAAAAGTATTTCTGTAATTAGAGGGTTTTTTACCTCTTGATTGGAGTAAATGATTCGAACGTTTGAATGAGAGAATGGCCGGTAAAATTACTTCCTTTTAATTAGTAATAGGCGTGTTGTCTTTTATGGTGTCCGGCCAATCTGCCTAAAGACATTTTGCCGAACGACAGTTTGCCTAAAGACAGATTGCCTAACGGACAGTTTGCCTAACTTACGGTTTTTAATGGATATTTCGCCTGATAGGTAAACTGTCCGTTAGGCAAACTGTCCGTTAGGCAAATTGTCCGTTAGGCAAATTGTCCGTTAGGCAAATTGTCCATAGGTAAACTGTCCGTTAGACAAACTCTCCGTTAGGCAAACTGTCCGTTAGGCAAACTGTCCGTTAGGCAAACTGTCCGTTAGGCAATGTGTCTTTAAGTAAACTGTCATTAGGCAAAATGCCTTTAGGCAGATTGACCGGTCACGCAATACAGTGCTCAGTGCTCAGTGCATGACAATGATTACGCTCAAATCATTTCGATCAGCAGATCAGCTCCGCATTATACCGAAGAACTGACTGCTAAATCAACACAACCATCCGATGCTACTGATTTGATAATTTATGCCAAAGGAGATGGGTTTTAGAATGCAGTTTGGAACCGGCGAGTCGTCGGTTTGGTTCCACTCACAAATATTATACTGACTGATTCACAAATAATGCTGCTCACGAATAAGATCGCTCTAAATCGAGTAATCTACTGATTTCTCTGATTCTATGATTGAGAGGGACGAGGAGCAACGATACCGTCTTGAAATCGCTCAAAATTCACCTTATTCATGGCTTGTATTAAGACATCGTTGCCTTTGTGGTGTGCAACTTCGATAGATGCAAGCATTGTCAGGTAGAACGTATCTCGTTCGTTTTCCATGGTCTCTGAAATTATCTCCAAATGTATCCATCCAAAAATTCTAGAGCATTTTCTTTCCTGAGCTCATATGCTTCTGGATTGTTTAAGTGAAGTTCTAAAGCTTAGGATGGGAAGTCTCCGGGAGTCGAACTAGAAATTTGCATGATAAAATCAGATTAGCAATGCTTGAAACGTGATCATTAATGATCTGCAGGCAAGTTAATTATAAAGTGAACCTGAAATTAAGGTACCATGAACTGAAATCAACAGTGATCTGAAAAAATTTGAACTTACGATTTGCATTTGTCGGTAATGCTCCCATACAAATCTCCTCAACAATATCTATTTCACAGACGTGCGCTGAAGGGAAAATGCCCTGTTGACAAGTCCGTAAGTTTGTTCCTGAATCAGTTTTATTGCGATGACATCAGAAATCAGTTCATTTGGAAATAAGAATATGATCTATGGTTTCTAGAGAAATGTACGGCTGCCTCTGGGCTGTTCGATGGCAAAATAACTCCGCAAAATCCCAGAGATCCAGAGATCCACAGATCCCAGAGATTAAGCCTAAGCCTAAGCCTAAGCTTAAGCCATCAAAAGTTCACGCACCATAGCACCAGTGATCCTCGCATTCCCTCTCCACGTGGACAGCATCGCCAATCTCGAGCAATACTTCGTCGTCGTGTCGAGGTATGAATGCCGAATGCACACGATGCGTTGGATTCAAGTGCTCTGAGCCGGTACAACACGATGAAACGCCTGATGAGTCATCTTGATTATACATAGTTGCCGCTGAAATACGATAGTGCTGAGTGAGGATTTGAGGAAGCTGTCGAAACTAAGCCCTTTATTGAATATCTCTTGAATTGAGAGAGATATTCTTGTGTGGTTATCTCTTTGAGATCAAACTTTCGTCAAAGATTTTCGCCTGACGCGTTCTGAGTCGAACTCACGCCCTCTGAACAGATCAATCGGATCCTCAAAGCCCAGTATCTAAACACCAGTACACTATCGGCCCATTGCACGATGTTTCTTAGTTGATTCAAGTACTATCTCTTTTAGTACCATCATCATTGTATGCTAGCTTTTCGTGCTAGTCGGGACAGACGCTGATAAAATCTTCTTACTTTCGGTATCGTAGCCGAAAGTTTTTCGCTTCAACACTTAATAAATGGCCTCGTATCACCCCCGAAAAAAGTCTCCTGAGCTCATCAAATGTGGTTTCGTCTCATGCTAAAGGTTTTATTCATAACGCAGAAAGCATGATTGAAAAATATGAGCGTAGCAAAACGTTGA